AGGGTTCGACAGAAGAGTAAGAGCTAGGATCTCATAATAAAGAGGAAGGTTCTTCTGGGTGGGGAGCCCAATATTATAGGCTGGTAGTAACGTGAGGTATGTTAGCGAACTGGCAAGGTAAATATTGCATACTAGGCACAGTGGAATTAATACTTCCTGACCCATCCGACCGAGCTAATGACGGTTCAGTTGGATGTGTAGCCCTTAACTTAACATTCTTAACATTGGCCTCATACTTCCTTTCCTTAAGGTCATTCGCCAATTCTTAGCTTTTTGTGGGAATAACTCCTACCCAGTTATGTCCTAATGGGTAGAGGACGCTCATTGCCATTTTAATTTTATGTAAAAATTTATGCCATTTTAATTCTTAGCAGTTCAAGTCTATGTTCACCTTTAAGGAAGATGGAAAAATACGATGAGTGGTATGATAGTGTCCAACCTAGGACTGGGAGTCGTTGGTGCTAGACTCTTCCTCCTCGATAAAGAAATAGAATGCATTTTTCTTTGTGTTGGGTGAATGTCAATTTCACCCATCTGAGGTAGATAGGGAGGGTGTAGTCCCTACCCATTATCACCCCATGTGTAAGTAACATCTCATATAATATGATCCAACGAAAGCTACGAATATTTTACTAATTCTTTTCTCTCGCATGCAGATTATAAGAATGTAACTTTAACCTCGATCATCCAAGAGCGAGTTGACTCCATTAGGGCTCTCTCTAAAAGGAAAAGATCCTACAAATTCATGATCTCAAACACCAGCTTATTTCAAGCAGGGTTGTTTCAATTCCAACCTCCGACCTCAACTACAGTCAAAACTTCCACCTCAGCTCCAGCTCCTACTTTAGCTTCAGTTACTTCAAGTAAAAACTTTGTTTTATTTTTTCAGTCCAGCTTGTAGTTCGTCTTCTAATGCAAGTGTTGTTTTTCAGTTCAGAATAATGAGATGATAGGATACATGGTTTCTAAGGCATCCTACTAAGCAAACTCAGAAGAGGAGAGCCCATGCTGAAAGGGTGGTCAACTGGGCTTGGCCAATTGAAAGATCTCCACTATTTCAGCCTTCTCTAGTTCGGTCTCCTGCAAGGACAGTTTCCACCCTACTTCATATTGTTGATTAAGTCCATTACTTCGGCACCTCCAACTCATAGGCACGTTGTCCACAAAAGGCCAAACATCGAGGTCATGGTGGGAAAACGGCCTGAAATTTTTCTTGACTTCCTTCGAGCAATCTCACCTTTATATGAGTCTACTGCGGTACTGGCACCTCCCATCAGAGATCCTGCTAACCTCCTTACTTGGAGTTGGAACAGGAGGGAGCAGAAGTACTTGAACATTATGTTAGTGGAAGAGACCATCATCACTGTTAAGTTGCACAGCCACAGGTCTGTCATCCATGTTTTCAAAAGAGAAGATGAAGTACCGATTGGATCTGGTTAGAGATGGATAATGACTTGTTGTTCATAGTAATCAGAGAAGAGGTAAGTCAAGGTCAAATTTTAGCGACCAGGTTTGTTGTTATAGCAAGAAGAAATGACACATTAAGAAAAATTGTGAAAAAAATACAAAACAAAAGTAATTTGACTGCAAATTATGTGAAGCAATCAAATACTTCAAATGAGACCAATATGGCCGAGAACTATTTAAGTGAAGGTGATGTTTTGACGATTTTCGACATGAAATCCAAACCTGATAAGGAATGAAGTTTGGATACACTTTGTGCATTCCATATGTGTCCCAATCAGAATTTGTTTGAAACATATAAAACGCTGACACAATATGTCGTTGTCATGGGTAACAACGAACCTTGTTGGGTAGTTGATATTGGTAGAGTCAGATTGAGGTTGGTGGATGGAACGTGTAGAACACTTAATCACTTTCGACATATTTTAGACTTAAAGAAGAATCTCATTTCGTTGAGTATTCTTGATTCAACAGAGTACACATTCTCTAAAGGAGGTGGAATCTTGAAGGTTCGAAAGGGTATTCATGTTGTATTGAAGGGGCGGAAGAGGTCTCAATTATACATCTTGCAAGGTCGAGCAGAATTTGTAAAGTAAAGTCAGCGTAGATTTAGTATCATGGTGGAGATTTAATTTGGTACTGTACCTTTGGAATTTGGTTCGGGTCCATATTGAAGAATACTATTCAATCGAGTTTGAAGGATATGAGTAATTCCATTTCGCTAGCATTACCTACAGTTCTATCATATTCAACTGTTAGGGATAGACCTATTGGAGATAAGTGTATGGATGCAGATTCAGTTCCACTTGCTTTTAACTCTTTTAAAGGCTTTGAGACTGGTCAAGAGATTTTTATGAAAGCATTGAGAGTTGATTCTGTTACAGGGTGTGCTTCGGCACTGTTTGGTAATTTCGAATTCTTTGAATTTTGGAGTGTTTGAGTTCATGTATCCCACTGGATACTGTGAAAGAGGAGTATTTTTGTGTCGAAAAAAGTTTGGTTCTTGTAAAATAATTTGGATATTTCATTGGAGTTGAATTTATTTTTCTAGATGGCAAAAATTTGGAGTTTCGTTCGTTGCATCAAACTTTGTGACAAAGTGGAGAATGTTGGGTTTTTTTTATCCAAATTATGTTGGATTTTTGAGAAAATATTTTTTCCTTCTTTCCGGTGTTTTTATTGGGAAAATATTGTTTCCTTTATTTTCGTGATTTTTTATTTTATTTCAATCTTTGTAGTATTTTTAGGATTTCGCATACACCCCTATAAATACTAGACTCTTTTCATAAATTTTGTATTATTGAAATATAGAATAATTGTGTGGGCACACTTATTGTATTTTTTTTTTTTTCATATTAGTCAATTGAGTAAAACACTCTATTTGTCTACAAATAAATTTTTTGCATTTTATTTTGTTGTTTGTTTACGATCATATACTTCATTTCATGTCATATATATTCACTCGATCCGTTTTATTTCTTAACATAAAATGCAAAAAAGAAAAAAAAAGCAATGTGGGGAATGTTCTGCGTAATTAAGTTTAAATGTACGGAGTTTTGTGCCAATAACCCAAGTAAAAACAAGGCCCAAAAAGTAATTATTATGGTCTATACTAACCATGCACTCATGCAGGCTATCCCATTCTCCACGAAATATACCAGGAAATCTTATACAAATTGACAGTTTCTTCACCTACAAAATATTTGACATATCGCCCATTTTCTGGCAATATACGAAGAAACCGACTCGGTCTT